ACTGTTTACATTCTGCAGAATCTACATTAATTCAATTAAAAAAATCTCAAATTAAACTCGAATTTGGACGTATTTGTCCATATAATCAATTCAGAACGTAACACGACTCCTCCATTGAATTGAGTACCAACTCCTAAATACAAAAATTACTAGTTATTTTTGTAGATTATACAAATAAATAGTGGTGAAATACCAAAGTTGAACTGGAACTTTAATAAACTTGAGAAATTCAAAATTACGAGTGACAGTCAAACTGTTGCAAGTCAGTTCAGACTCCAACAGTTATGAATGAGGTTATGTTATGAGATTATGTTATGATTAGAAAGAAGAAACAAACTATGCAAAATTCAGGTGGAGCGTGAGCGTTGAATTGAAAACCTATCGTAACATATTTTATTTAGACTCCGCCCTTATTCGAAACTATCCGAAATATTTGTACCGTATAGTTTCGGTTACTATTACGGAGCTCCATAACATCGCCTAGCAGGCCTAGAGCAGAAATATCCAAAAAATTATAGAATTTCTTTCTGCAACAATTACTATTGAGAATTTAAATGACATGATGAAATACTAACATATTCTTCTGACATTCCAACAATTGTTAATAAAATTTAGCTTGAATTTCACTAGTTCGGACTTCCATTGTCTATTATATAAAATGATTTGAAATCCCTGAAACAAGTAAAAAAGAATAATTAAAAAAGAATAGTTGAAAATAACAATTATATTAAGCAACAATAAACCTGAAATGAAATGATAGTAAAATAACCTACAAGTAAAAATATAATAATTGAATAAATAAAAATTAAAGGAATGCAAAGAGAAAATAATAAAAATGAAAAATGAAAAAGTGTAGAGATTCCAAGTCACGTTAGTTCACGACGTTTCGATTGTTGGTATCTACAATCGTATTCTTTTTTACTTGTTTCAGGGATTTCAAATCATTTTATATAATAGACAATGGAAGTCTGAACTAGTGAAATTCATCACGAAACATTGTCAATCACCTTCAAACAAAAATTTAGCTTATATTGCGATGATATCCCAAAAATTGAACTTTCAAATGTTTACATAAGATGGATCTTCGTTTAAAATGCCATTATTTGCCATTAGAAAAAACAAAAAACCATGGCGATATCAAGCTGTGTTTCTGTTGACGATAATAATTCTTCTAACGGATGAATAACTGTTTTTAGGTGAACTCTCTCCCCATTTCTCAAAATATTTCGAGTAAATCTTTAGACAAATCAGAATTCACTGATGGCCAAAAGTTTTCATCAAATTATATGCGATATTTTATTCAGAGATAGATGAAATAGTTCAATTACTGCCACACAATATTTGTTAGAGTTCGAGAGTTGCAGCATCGTTTGTCATTTTATTACATGCTGTATATTTTATGTCAATTTGAGTTTGTTAGTGACAAGTTTGTTTACACATATGATCGAACAATTGTTTTTGGGATAGTTAAAATTAAACTGTAAATATCCAAAAAATATCTCAGTTTTTCTATATAATTCTCCACACTCAACATAAAATGGCGACCGTGACAGGACAATACGTGGAGAATCCATCAAGGTTGAAGAAAGAACGAGGTATCTTGAGGAAAATGTTTAAAAAGTTATGCAACGAGCTGGAACTGGAACTGAATGCCCAGCCGATAGCAAAGTCTAGTATAATGGCCCTCTTAACACAGATTGAAGATAAAGGGTCCAGAATATTCGTCATTGATGAGCAAATCCAAATGGTGACAACAGATGACGAAGAGTTCGAGAAGGAGTATGAAGAGAATAAAAAGTTTCGTGAGAATTTGATAATGTATAGGTACGAGGTATGAGTTTGCCCTAGTAAATATACCGAATCAAGATATAGGAAATGCCAGTTCAATTGGAACATCAAATGTCGAGCGAAATTTCAAATTGCCAAAAATAGAGTTGAAGAAATTTGACGGAGATGTTCGAAAATGGATTGGATTCTGGGGGCAATTTCGGAAAATCCATGAAGACAAATTCCAATATTTAGTGCAGTCCATGAAACCAGGTAGTGTAACAAAAGCTTTAGTTGACAGTTTTCCCCCATATGCAACCAACTACGAAAAAGCCGTTGGTCAACTGAAAGCCAGGTTTGCACGAGACGAATTTCTTAGAGAGGTTTCCGTCAGGGAACTGTTGAATTTGGTATTGAAACAGGCCACCAATAACAAATCAGGTATGTCATTAGCTTCTTTATTCGACAAATTAGAGACACTATTGAGAGCCTTAGAGTCACTAGGAGTAACTAGTGATAAATATGCTGCTATTTTGTTTACACTAGCCGAATCTGCCCTTCCAGAACATGTTCTAAGAGCTTGGGAGAGACACAAGAGCAATATCGAAGCCAATAATTTGGGTTCTAGTACAGATAAATCTATTAACTATTTAACATCAGATGTGGGTACTCACTTACTTACTTACATCATTTGCGGTAAAAGGCATTCTCCTATATTATGTGGTGATTTATCTATTGAACCATCCAAGCATTCTATACTTACGGATCAGTAACAATACTACAGGTACTCTTTTACAAACCGTTACTGTGAAGTTGTATAGTGAATCAGGTATAAAAATTGTTAGAGCCTTACTAAAATAAAATATGCAGTTTTGTCCCACGGTTAGAAAATGTTCGAATAATTAATTTGTTGAAAGAGAAAAATATAAACATATCTGATACTCAAACAAAAATTGAAGAAATCAGGTAGAATAGAGAAAGTTGATGATTTGGTAGCAGTTGAAACTCATTTTGGGTGGACAGTAATGGAATTATATTACCAGAAAAACACAATAGAAACTCTTTGTTGCTTTAATGATAGTGCACTTTCTGATTTGTGGAGTTTAAATGTTTTGGGGATAAGGGATCCAGTTTATATAAAGAAAAACGAAATTTTAGAAGCGGAGACAGATGATTATTTTGAAAAAACAGTTCAACGTAATGAAGAAAATAGGTATGAAATAAAGTTTCCGTGATCGATAATCACCCTAAATTATTAGATAATAGAGACATTGCAGAGAGTAGGCTTCTTTCCACTACTAAACGGAAAATAATTTAGCAAAATATCAGGAGTATAACCAAGTTTTGAAGGAATGGGAAGAGTTAGGAATTATTGCACAAATACATACTGATATACAGAATAAAGGAAAACATTATATTCCGCATCATACTTTTCATAGGTGATCTTATTATCGAAGTGCTACGGTTAAAAGTTGTGCTCTGTTGAAAATTATAATTCGTCAAGAAATAACGAACAGGTATTTAATGAAGAAGCAGTACAAAGAGGAGAGGAACTGTTGCATATAATCAAGCAACAATAAATCGCAATACAACAAGCTGAACAGAAATTAGGTGAAATGGAGAAAATAATTAAAACACTGACGAATAAAGAGATACGAAAACAACTTGTACCCAAACTGAAATAGTAAACTAAGAACAAAATATACAGACGGAACCTACCGTTTCAGACTCTAGTATGCAAACATATTCCCCAATGATGAAGGATGAATCGACAAGCATGTCGGGACCACAGCAATCATTGAATCATGAAACAAGCCGATCTGTCGAACATTTACACCATCGTATAAAAAATTGTATAAAAGAAGAACTAAGACTATCTGTAGATTACATAATTGGGAAAATTTCACAGACTGATACCAAAATAGATGTGTTGAAGGACTCCAATAATGATTTGAAGTCACTAGATCAGAGATGTTCCCATTCATGTCATAATAAATCGCGGATATCAACACCCAAGCGTATTATTAGTAATGAAGAGGGTATGATGACACAGAAAACAAACCCGAAGGTAGACATAGAGCGCAAACCAACTCAGTTTTTTCGTACCAATACACAACACGAAAAATATCCACTGAGCAAACATGGGTACAATGTCAAACACCTCAGTTCTATTGTTCAAACAGTAGGCCACAAAAAACGCGCAATCACCAACCAAGAAAACAATATGAAGAAAAAAAACTCCACTCAAGAAACTACAAACAATATAATGGTAACTCAAACTCTATAACTCTTCACAACTATACACAAAAGAAAACACAAACTCTTCATATAATACCCACGGAATGGATACCAGTATCCTGGACCACATTACCCAACCAGAAACTTCCACAACAGCAAGTACAATCACAATGTTTCCATCAACTACTCTCACACATCAGACCCATACTGTGATATGCAAAACCACAACCAACCTTGATTCAATATCCTTTATGTTATTAAATATTCAGTCAGACAGAAACAAAGTTAACGAATTATCTGTTTTCCTAGAGGATTTAAATCGTCCAGATCTGATTTTGTTGACTGAACATTGTCTTGCCCATAATGAACCTTTTTACTTACCTCATTATACAGAAATGTCAAGATACAGCAGAATTAAGAGCATCCATGGAGGAACCATGGTTCTTCAAAATAACTCACTAAATGTTAAATTCGTCAACGTGGATAAATTCAATGATTACTTGGAAGAAAAATCATTTGAATTTTGCTTGTTACATTCACAAATATTGAACATGTATGTATTATGTGTTTATAGAACACCCACATCTGATGTAAATATTTTTATACAAAAGTTAGAACAGCTTCCCAATGTACTTCCTTTAAATGCAACTATTCTGATAGCAGGAGATTTAAATATTAATTTCGCTGACAAAAAATCTCTAACCATTCAATCTCCAAATAACCTTTTAACCTCATTCAATTTGACTATGCATATAGAGTCCCCTACACGAATCTCTCAGAATTCTGCTACAATTATAGTTTATTTATGTACGAATTTAGACAAACAATATATTTCTTGTGATATTACTTCAGCTGGTATGTCCGACCACGAAGCTATATTATGCTGCTGTAAAGCGAATTTTATAATAAACCAGAATAAATACAGATTCGGCAGATTATATAGTAAAAAAAACTATAAAAGACTGTATAATACATGTCTGAATTTCAATTGGGATATTGTAAACAATGACCAGGATTCATTCTCAAAATTTTACAATTATTTGGTGAATATTTTCAATAGTTCATTTCCGATTCAAAAATTGAAAATCAAGCACAGAAAACAATGGATTACTCATGGCATGAAAATTTCAGCAAATAATATGCGATCGCTGCACTATATTCGGAAGTTTAATGGTAATATCTCATTTCAAAGATATTTCAGCAGATACCGCAGCATATATAGGCAGGTTATCAGACAAGCAGAAGAAAGTTACTATAAAAATAGATTCAAGCAAGCTGAAAACAAATCGAAAGAAACTTGGCAAGTAATTGATGACCTAAGAGGTAAATCTAATATAGTACATAAAGTTTCACTTCCACCAAACTTTCTTAACTAATATTACTCCTCTATTGCAGAAAATCGACTACTCAGAACGACCCTATGTAACACTTAAAAAACCTCTTCATTTCTGAAACTTGCTCTCTTTATGACACTGACATTTATGAGCTGGAACAGTGTTTCCATTGGAAAACAGTCTTCATCTGGTTACGACGACCCAGATAACACATTACAACTNTAGTTGTCTAATGAAGGGACCAAACATGATTGAACTCATTCCAATAATTCTTCTCAAATTCAGACTTGGGATGATTGGAGTAATTTCCGACATCAAAAAGGCATTTTTGCAAATAAGTATAGCTGAAGAAAATAGAAATATGCTTGAATTTCTCGGATAGGAAGATTCTTCATTGAAAATAATGAAAGTTTATCGCCATACCAGAGTAGTTTTTGGTATATCATCAAGTCCATTTTTGCTAGCAGCTACACTATCTTACCATTTAAAAATGTCTCCTGAAAATTTGAAAGAAACAGCTTTGAAACTCATGGACTCCTTTTATATAGATAATTGTGTAACTAGTGTTAATACTGAGGAAATAGAAAATGGCTCAAAGGAATCCAATTATTGCCCTATTCAAACTGAATCAATCCCAGTGAAATGCTTCATTACATATATTTTGTGATGCAAGTAGGTTGGCGTATGCCTCTTGCATTTTTTATTCGTATAGAAGGAAATGGAAACATTCGCAGTCATCTATTACAAACTAAATCTAAAATAAGTCCCATGAAAAGTGTCACTTTACCACTATTGGAATTATTAGCAGCATCAATTGGAAATAGGCTACATCAATTCGTAATTCAGGTTGATTATTTCAAAACATTGAATTCTTATTTTTGGAGCGATTCTACAGTTGTTCTCACATGGATGAAAACAAAGTCAAATTGGACCACTTTTATTATGAATTGAGTAAATGAAATAAGAGCAAACACATATATTAATCAGTGGAATCATGTTTCGGGAGATATGAATGCCGCTGATCTCCCATCACGAGGATGTAGTTGTAAGCGTCTATTAGAATCCAGATGGTGGAAGGGTACTGAGTGACTCAATAGAAAAAGTTTTGGACAGCATTAAATCAACAATTTTCGGATGAAAAGGCATAATATGAGGAGTGCAGAAGAAATATGATTTCACAATTAGTTAGCCAAAATGATATGACTTCTGCTCCATTCAATTATTTCTCCAAGTATTCGAAAATAGTCAGAATGGTTGCATGGATGATTCCTTTCTGTGAAAGATGTCATAGAGTGAAAATGCATCATGATGAGTTGTTGAAAGAGGAAGTTGTTAAGACGGAAATTTGTCTACTTAAAATTATTCAAAATTAAAGTTTTGGAAGTACAACTCCTGTAGAAATATCCAATATCAATGTTTTTGAGAATGAAAGTGGATTAATTAGAGTAAAAACCAAACTTTATTTTTCTGAAGATGTCCAGTCTTTCAAGTTTCCTATTATTTTGCCTTACAAACATATCATTGTTAGAAAAGTAATTGAAATAAACGACATTATTTCTCGTCATTGTGGAGTGCAAAGTGCTTCTGCAAACAATTCGTGAGAGATTTTGGATAATTGGGGCTAGAAGAATAGTCAAAGATGTTATTTTAAAGTGTGTTGTATGCAAAAGGTACAAAGTCAAGTCATTAGAAACTCCGTTTGCTCCACTTCCTAGGGACAGATTGAAAATTTCCGCAGCTTTCGAGATAACCGGTACAGATTTTGCAGGACCTCTGTATTTGAAAAATGGTGAGAAGGCTTGGATAGTTATTTTTACTTGTGCCGTTTATCGAGCATGCCATTTTGAATTAGTGCAGTCTCTTTCAACTGAAGCTTTTCTACAGGCACTAAGACGATTTATTGCTAGGAGGGGAAGAGTATCGGTGATTCATTCCCATAGCGGAACCAATTATGTGGGAGCCAATAACCAAATGAAAAACTTAGATTGGAATGAAATTTTGAAACACTCATCAGTTCAACGAATTACCTGGAAATTCAACATCCCTTCAGCGACTTGGTGGGCTGGATGGTGGGTGTGTACCGTGAGAATGATCAAGGAACTTTCGAGAAGAAATCTAGGAAAGAAAACCGTCGATTATGAAGAGCTTCTGACATTGCTTTGTGACTGCGAATCGATCATAAATTCAATTCACTAATTCCCGTAACACCGTCATCTTTTCTACAGAGCATCCCAACCTCAGAAGTACCAGAAGAACAAGCATCAAGAAGAGATTTCAATATTTGCAGAAAATTTGAGAAAATCTTCGTGAGAGATTCAGGAATGAATATCTGGCCAATTTGGTACATTTAGGACAAAGAAAATGTAATAAGTTGGTTATAGGTGATGTACTCTTGATTTGATCTGACAATACCAAGAGAATTAGTTGGCCGATGGGAAGAATAATAGAAATTCACCCTGGAATGGACAAGATTGCCAGAGTAGCTCGAATCAAATTAGCTACAGATAAATTAATACGATCGTTTCAACGAATCTACCCACTAAAAACTTCAAACTCTAATGGGGAAACAGAAATACTAGGCAAACTCGTAAAACGACCCATTTCAAATTCCAAAGTAACTCCGTATGAAGACGAAACAACCAAAGAAGATCATCCAAATCAGGAATGCAAACAATCTTCAACTACAGGAGAAGAAAGGGTTCCAGAGAAATCCGTCCCTGTGTGTACTAGGTCAGGACGATTGATCCAGATTCCTGATCGATATATGAGTTAGCTGTTTTGCAATTCAACTTTGCAAAAGGTGGGAGAATGTTGGGATTCGAGAGTTGCAGCATCGTTTGTGATTTTATTACATGCTGTATATTTTATGTCAATTTGAGTTTGTTAGTTACAAGTTTGTTTACATATATGATAGGACAATTGTTTTCGAGATAGTGAAAATAAAACTGTAAAAGTCCAAAAAATATCTCAGTTTTTCTATATAATTCCCCACACTCAACAATATATGTTCTATCGAAGTTTCATCAGGAAATCAACTCTACGACAGTATTTCAACTATCATTCGTCGTAAGTGATTCAAAATATTTTTCTATAGTCACAACTAATTAGCAAAAGAGCTGTGAGTATGATTTCAAAAATATCATTGTACTTTTTCATTCGTGAAAAAGAAGAGTTATGGAATAAATTGGATAACGTACTAGTCTAAACAATGTATCACTAATATTGTGGTCACTACGTAATCAATATCAGTAACGAAAAAATGTCAAAATTTGGACTTTATTGATCACACTGTAGGTAGAGTATAGTTAGCTACAAACCACATCCACATAATTAATTATCCCACAAACTAGCACCTCCGGGTCTAATCTCCACATATCTATACCATGTTTATGACTACTCAGTTGCCATTTCATCATGATCATACCGGTGTTAATCAAACGTAATGTTACTGATAAAACCCACATCAATATATTTACCCAAGTGAAGACCAGTGAACATTACGATCATATGTGTGTATATGATGCAATTCACTTTGTTGATAGTGCATGTATAAGCTTTCTTTCCTTTTGAAAATTAATTGGAATCACTTTATTGTATTTCACTTATTATAATCATTAGCATGTAAGAAATCAATTCAAGGAAAATGTACATCAAGCGAAACAATCTTCAAAAATATCGTAGGTTGAAAAACCTAGAGGAATATTCCATAATGAACAAACTTCTGAATTTTGAGATTGAAAACTATTGTGATGATATTAGTATATATTTTGTGATGC